AATAAATATATATATATATATACTTTTTTTAAAAAGAGGTTTTTGCCTTAGGGTGTGTGCACACACTGGAGAGAGAGAGAGAAAGACAGTGAGAGGGAAAGTGAAAAATCACTCCCTAAGGAAGATGGCCACAATTCCTTTTCCATTCTCCTCCTGGGATCTTGGGCATGCACACACATGTACCCAGTGTGGTTTGCAAACCCCTGGGTCTGGGACTCTAACTGTGGTCAATCATGTGGAATCCAGTGATGTAATCACTAGACCATCTGCTGGCCTGAAATAAATATTTTTAAAAAAATAACAATAATAAATAAAAACTAAATAATTTTTTAGAGATTTTTGCTATAGGGCACGTGGCACTCACTGGAGAGACAGAGAGAGAGAGACAGACAGAAAGGGAAAAATCACCCCCCAGAGGGGAATAAACTGCCCCTTAATTAGCCAAGCCATATGAGTCAGACACCTGAGGAGGATGGCCACTCTGCAATTCCTTCTTCTCCATTATCCTCTTGGGAATTTGGGCATGCAAGCACGCACGCCCAGCGTGAGTTTTAAGCAAACTGTGGTTGACTACATGGGAGTCCAGCAACATAACCATTGCGCCATCTGCTGGTCCCAATAATTCTTTGAAAAAAAAAAGGGGCTGATGGGTGGTGTAGTGGTTAAGGGGAACTGACTCTCACATAGCTGACTGCAGTTCAAGTCCCAGATCTGGCAGCTTGCTTTCTCACATTCCCTCTCTCTCACACTCTGTCCCTCTCTGATCAAATTAAAATAAATAAAGTTAAAGAAAAAGAATTAAAAAGTTGGTTAGCTTTTAAGAGAAAATCATATGGGCCAGTCAATGGAATGCTAGTTAAAGCAGCTGGAATCCCACATGACCAACTGCACAGTTTAAGTGCTGGGTCTGGTAACTTGAAAAACACACCAGGCACATGTCCACATATGCCCAAAATCACAAGAGGAGAAACAAGGGTGAAGGATTATAGCATGGCCATCCTCCTTGGCAGGTGCTTTCTCTTTCTCTCTCTCTCTCTCTCTTACTCTCTCCAGTGAGTGCACATGCCCTATAGTAGGGGAAACGAAAAGACAAGACAAGACAAGGGAAGAGAAGGGAAGGAAAGGGAAGGGAAGGACAGGAAAGGGGGAAAGGGAAGGGAAGGACAGGAAAGGGGGAAAGGCAATTAACTGAGCCACAAAAATTCATACAAGGCCAAAGCCTTCCCAAATTTGAAAAACAAAATGAACATAAACATCCAAGCTCAATTAGCTCCAAATAGGATGAACTCAGATTCATCTACACTGAAACACATTATAATCGAACCGTCCAAAGCCAAAACAGAGAATTTTGAAAGCAGTAAGAGAGAAGCAAATTATCTCATACAAGGACCCCTCAGTAAGATTAACAGTGTATTTCCCATCAGAAACTTTGGAGACCAGAAGGTGGTGCACTGATATATTCACATGCTAGAATAAAAAATAAACCAAGAACCCTATAGAGGGCAAACTGTTTTTCTAAAGTGAGGGAGAGGGCTGGCCCTATAGCCTAGTGGTTAAAGGATCTGGATCCCACATGGCTGACCACAGCATAAATCCTGGCCCTTAGGGCTCAAAAAAGACAACAGGCACATGTGTGTGTATGCATGCCTCAAATCCCCAGGAGGAGAATAGAGGAAAAGGGAGTGCAGTGTAGCCATCCCCTTGGATGATTTCTAACTTTCCTTCTCACTGTCTCTCTCTCTCTCCAGCAAGTGCACCTTAAAGAAAAAAAAAAAAAAGATGCTGAAGGTAAACTGTGGATTATGAGGAGCCATAGGGAAGTCAAGAGGAGGACAGAGGTGTTTGACACTTTGCCATTTGAAGGGTACTATTTGTGATAGATCCCTGTAGTGGAGAACCCACTGGATTCAGAGGGCACCAACCCAGATTATAAAGGCACCACGGGCAGAAGCTGTTCTAGTTCCAGGTCCCCCTGATATTCCAAGAGCTCAGAAGCACAGTAAGCCAGCTCTAGCAGGAACAGTGAAAACCTAAGAGTCAGAGTGGACTGGGGAAAGCCTCTAGTCATTCTCACTGCCTGCCCACAGCAAGTCTCATTAGGGGAGGGGAAAGTCTTCATTTTAAGTCAGTTTTAGGAGTTTTGACTATTACTCTGGACTGGACAGTCTAATTCTTAATTTCAAATAGAGTGGGCCAGCGGGTGGCATGGTGATGAAGGTGGCTGAATTCCATATGACCAACAGAATAGTTCAAGTCTTGACCCAGTGGCTTGAAAAACATGCTGGGTGCATTTGCGTATGTGTCCAAAATCCCAAAAGGAGAATGGAGGAGAAAGGATTGCGATACCCACCCCCCAGGGCACTTTCTCACTCCCTAGCAAGTGCACAATCCCTCTGGCTAATTTAAAAGCAAAAAGATAAGTTGAGAGAGTGTGTGATCTACAAAAAACCTGAAATGTTATAAAGTTTGCCCAAGTTTTCATTTAAGAGCTTGGAAGAACTAGCCCCCCCTGAACAAAATGTAAAATAAAGGAGTGGTAGGAGACAAAACCAAAATTATTCATCACAACCTTGAATCTTGCTGATTCAAAACAATGAACTGTGCCCGAAACCTAGTAACTGCTAAATAAATATTAACCAGTAGTATTCTGTCCTATCACCTATTGTAGCAGAATGATCTGTGCACAGTAATAGCCTAAATGGGTTTCTCCAATTAGTCCAAATTCATGATAGGAGTTACTGACTACTTGCGTAGATCCTTATGATGTAGTACAAAAATTAAAGTGCCCAGGGCTTTTTCAAAGCTCTTTCCTGAAATCTACAACTCAGTTAAAAGGATAGAAAAGGAGAAGCATCCAAGATCTTTTTTTCTTGGCTCAAATCCTAACAACCAAGCAAGCTCTAAATCAGCCTCACATCACCCAGAGGATCAAAGGGAGCCGTTTTCTTTGCTGGTCTTAGATTTCAAAAGCAGTTTCTTTATCCTTAAAGCGGAAATAGGGCTTCTTTGGGAGTGAGAGTTAAAGAGGACAAATTGGTCTCAGGGGGTGTTGCAGCGCACACTTGGTGGGCACTACATGGAGTGGCCTCTCTGAATTTCTGTGGTCCTTGTGGACCCTTAGGCAGAAACCGGGGTCTCTGCAGCCCCCAACACTCTTGCCAAAGAGAGCCAGGGGTGGGGAATGATAAAGCCTCCCCATGGGAATAGAAACGTCCCAATCCCTTCTTCACGATCTCTTTTTCCTTTTGGGATTTTGGGCATGTACGTTTTTCAAGCCAAGGGTTTGGAAATCAAGTTGTTTGGTTGGCCACGTGGGATCTAGCCACCTCAAACTCCATGCCACCTGCTGACCTGCCCTTCACTCTCCTTTAGAAGGCAGCCCAAGTCTTTATTTTGCTATTTGTGTACTTGAAAGAAATTACTTATTTTCAGCACCAATTCCCTGTACTCTATTTCCAGACAGTACAAAACTCACTGATTGGATTCTTCATTCCTTTCCTTAAAATTAATATTAAGTTGTTCTTTTTTTTTTTTTCCTACCCTATGAAGTCTTTTAAAGGGAGACAAGTTAGATTAAACTTAGAAAACAATGTTGGGTTTTGAGAATTGGTTCATATCTGGGTTTTTTCTGTTGTTCTATCACATCAAATTCTAATTTGTTTTTTAAAATTCACTGATGATTTTTTCAGCATGGTCAAAATACTGGTAAAATGATTCTAGCGTCAATCAATAATCAGACTACTACCTGAAAGAAGGGCTAAGCTAAAGTTGATAAAAATCCATAGCCCGGGGGACCAGTAGGTGGGGTAGTGCTTGAGGCACTGGATTCCCCTGTAGTCAGCCATGGTTAGAGTCCTGGACCTGGTGGCTTGAAACTCACACCAGGTGTGTGTGTGTGCATGCCCCAAACCCCACGAGGAGAAGGGATTGTGGTATGGTCATCCCTCCTGGGGGGGGAAGGGGGATGATTACTCAACTTCTGTCTGTCTCACTCTCTCCGGCAAGTGCACATGCCCTACAGCAAAAATCTCTCAAAAAAAAAAAAAAAAAATCCATTGCCCTAAATACCTTAAAAAAAAAAAAAAAGGCAATATAATAGGATTCTGAAAAAGCAGTTTTAAAATATTTTTTTCAGTAGCCTTGCCAATAGATCATTCACACAATTTGAACACATAAAGCTTCACTTTAATCAGGACTTTTGAACTAACTAGCAAGGAATTTGAAACTAGTGTATCTCCTTGATTTTTACTAGCCTGTACTCATACTTAGGGGGATCCAAACAACACTGACTTGACTAGCTCATTTGTATAGTGCCTGTGTATATTCTTGCAATCAGCCAGAGCCCAAGATAACCTTATGAAATAAACTGGCCTATTTTAGTTTGTTATAAAGTGTGTGCACTCACTAGAGACAGAGAGCGAGAGAGGGAAATTGAGAAATCACCCCCCTTCTCCTCCATTCTCCTCTCTGAATTTTGGGCTCGCATGCACACATGCCTGGCATGTTTATTCAGCTGCTGAATCGAACCACACAGTTGGTCATGTGGGATCTAGCTGCCTTAACCACCACAGTACCTGTTGGCCCAGATATGAATATTTTCAAGGCTTACAATAGCAGATGTAATTGGCAGGGTTTCTTTGGAATTTTACATTTATTTATTTTTTAATGATTATTTAATTTTGGGACCAGCAGAGGGTGTAATGATTATGTCGCTGAACTCCCACATGGCCACCTGTAGTTTGAGTCCTGGACCTGGAGGCTGCTAACTCATGCTGGGTGCATGTGGGTGTGCGCCCAAAATCCTAAGAATAAGAACAGAGGAGAAGGGACTGCGGTGTGGCCATCCTCCCAGGGGGGCAATTTCTTGCTTTCTGTTTCTCTGTCTTTCTCAATCTCTCTGGCAACTGTACACGTCCTATAGCAAAAAACACTCTCTAAAAAATTATTTAATTTTACTTATCATTATTATCATTTTAATTTGCTACAGGGCACGTGTGCTCACCAGAAAGAATAAGAGACCGAGAGAGATAGAAGGGAAAGCGAGAAAGTGAGTCACCAGGTCTGGGACTCGAAATGCAGTCGGCCATGTGGGAGTCCAGTGCCCCAACCACCATGCCACCTGCTGGCCCCAGAATTTTACATTTCTTTTTTCTTTTTGACAACCTAAAAATATATACTTATTAAAATGATATCAATAATCAACTGTACAAAAAAGATAATGAAACAAATATGTGCATTTATAGAACTGCATATCAGTCAGGCCAGTTCCCAGTGGAGAGAATTCCTAGCATCACCTCATTCATCTGTGAGGACACAGAGCAGTCCTTGTTTGGACGGGCACACTCATCTAACTTGTCTGGTGTGGTCAGACCTCTCCTTCTTGATGGCTTCCTCCTGCTTAGGAATGTGTATGTTCAGTTGTCTGCTGCTTGGTACAGATGTTTACCTTCCTGACCCACCAGCCATTGGAGGAGGGGTGGGGCCACAGAGAGAATTGATTCAACCCATTCTTGGGGGTGGGGGTGGGGTCTTCTGGGTGGCCCTCTTCCATCATCATATGTGGAATCAGATGAGTTTCCATAGCTGCTTCTCTTGTTCACATCTTTCTGAAGCAGAGTTTTCAAAAACAAAACTACAAACTCAACTATTCTTCAGATGAAATCTGTTATCAAAGATAGGGGAACTGACTCTGGCTGTCCAACACTTGTCCGTTCAAGATATAAACCATCATGCCTCCCATTCTCTGCTTTGGAGCTACTGAAGAGCTCACACCTCCTCCAGAGTCTTACATTTCATTTTTTTTTAATAATTATTTTTAATTGAATTAATTTATTATTATTCTTTGACCAGAGAGAGACACAGAAAGAGAGAGTGAGAAAACAAGCCTCCAGGTCCAGGACTCAAACCATGGTCAGCCATGTGGGAGTTCCAGCATCTTACCCACCACACCCTCTATAGGCCCGAGTTTTACCTTCCTAAAAATAGTGACTCAATTGAAGTGACAAGAACCATCTTCCGTGTGGCCTTCTTATGTAGGTACAGTCCTGAAGCCGATTTCCTCAGTAGCCAGTCAGCACATGAAATGTCACTGTGAAGTCTTCGCAATGTGACCGTGGCTGCAGCAGCAGACGTGGGCAACGGCAGACGTGGCAACAGCTCTCTGTCCTGCGTGCCAGCCCCGTGAGAGTCCCCAGCATCTGCTCCCATGCCTCGCCAGCCAGCTGAGCACAGCAGAATGACAGAGACCAAGCAGGTCAGCACCCAAGGAGACTGCATCCATTTCCACTTGCTTCTCTGCACATATGGTTCCCAATCTATTTGTGAAACATTTCAGTCTGAATACGAAAGACAGGGTGCCACTGAAAAGTAGCTAAATACATTCAAAATGAATAAAAAAATGTCAAGCAACACTTCTTCAGTTGCCAGATTCATTTTCAGCCTCTGTTTCATATTCCCATCAAAAACAAGATAGAGTTTCATTGCAAAAGAAATGAATTAATAATTAATAATTGTGAAAGATGTTTTTTTTAAAGTTGAGGCCCATATTTGACCTTGGGTAATATTAATCAAGCTACTTCCATTATACAATTAGTAAAAACTATTAAAAACTGATTGATGTTCAGGCACTGGCAACAGTCTCTCTAGACAGCAAGCTGAGGTCACAGCAATCTCCCTAATATGTATGCAGGTACTTCAAAAAGTTTATTAAAAAAGAATGGTATTCAAGTACAAGTTTATTTTGGTGCAAATATTTTTAAAAATCCCTGCATAGTTTTTTTTTTTCTCATAATATGTATTTCTATGAACTTTTTGAAGATCCCCATAGCATCCTTTCTTTCTAAAAAAATTATTTTATTATTATTGTTAAATTTGACTAGAGAGAGAGAGAGAGAGAGGGAGAGTCAGAAAGGAAGCCACAGGCCCAGGATTCGAACATGTGGGAGTCCATCCCCTTAACTACCACGCCAGCTGCTGGTCCCAATCATAGTATCCTTTCACACCTACTTAATGATCCCTTCCATGAACAGTCATCACTGAGCCATAAAGAAAACACTTGTCCCTAAGAAAATAAACCTATTTTCATTGGGCCTGCCATTTTAAAAAGGACAAAGAGTATCAAAACAAAGTAAAGTTTTATTCAATCTGGCTGCAGAAAGAATAAAGTTTATTAGTAAAATAGATACTTTTTCAATCACCCACATATTTTACTTTACTACTACTAAGTATCCCTTAACATGTCTAATAATATGTTTTGACTAAACTAGGAATATAGCAGTTGGTCTGGAAAACATATAAACAACAGAACTTTATTTTTTTAAGAGGTTTTCACCTCAGGGTGCATGTGCTCGCCAGAGAAAGAGAGAGAGACAGAGACAGTGAGAAGGAAAGTGAGAAATCATTCTCCCCCCAGGGGAGATGGCCATGCCACAATCTTTTCCTCCATTTTCCTCCCCGGATCCTGGGCACACAACTGGGTCTGGGACTTGAACTGCGGTCAGTCACGTAGGAATCCAGAGACGTAACTACTAAGCCATCTGCTGGCCCCCAATGACTGAACTTTTAAAGTCAAAAGCAAAGCAGTGTGTAATCTAGGACCCAATCTAAGTTGTCACATTGGTTTGGTTGGTTTGGTTGAATAAACATACTAACTTCCATTTCTGCCGTGGAGGATGTAGTAATTTGTACTAATTCTCCTTTTGAAGACAACTGAAAAAATCTGGACTTGATTTTTCAAAAAACAGTACAGAGCTAATCAATGAATAAAGAATCGCTTGGCCAACATCCAAGACAGAAATTCTAAAATATGAGTCTGTCACTGAGGCTTCTATTGCCCAAAAGCAATTTGCTAAGCAGGACTATGACAGCCTCACTAAGGAAGGGGATCAAAATTTAGAATCCTGGGTAACAGGGGCCAGCAGGTGGCATGGTGGTTATAGGCACTGGACTCCTACATGGCCAATCACATTTCGGGTTCTGAACCTGGTTGCCTGCTTTCTCACTTTCTCCCTCTCTTTTTCTCACTCTGTCTTTCTCTGGTCAAATTAATATAAATAAATAAATAAAGTTAAATAAAGTAATTCTTTTTAAAAAAATGGCTCCTGGGTTACATCAAGAAAAACAGGTATCATGAGATATCCATTTTTTTCTTTTTTTTGGAGAGGTTTTTGCTATAGGGCACATGCGCTCGCCAGACAGAGACAGAGAGACAGAAAGTGAGAAATCACCCCCCAAGGGGGATGGCCACACCACAATCCCTTCTCCATTCTCCTCTCGGGATCTTGGGCACACACGCACACATGACCGGCTTGAGTTTAAGCTACCGGGTCCGGGACTCGAACCACAGTTGACTACGTGGGAGTCCAGCAACATAGCCATTACGCTAACTGCTGGTCCCAATATCATTTTTTTAAAATTTAATTTTTGAGAATACACTGGAGACAGAGATAGAGAGAGGGGAAGTGAGAAAGGGAGACAGAGAGAGGGGAAGTGAGAAAGCACCCACCCCGCAGCGGGGATGACCATGTTGCAGTCCCTTCTCTTCCATTCTTCTCACAGGATTTTGGACATGCATGTACATGTGTTTGTTAAGCCACTAAATCCAGGACTTAAACAGCTGGCCGTGTGAGATCCAATCACCTTAGCCTCCACACTATCTGCTGGCCCTATCTTTTGGTTTTAATATTACATACAGGTATCACATTAAGACAATACAAGATCCAAGGGCCATCAAATGCTCTACACTGAACAAGTTGGTAAAAATAATAAATTCTACATTACTTAGTCACATGGCATATAGCTATATTCTAATTTATCGAAATATAAAGGTCAACCTTACCTTGAGATCTATAAACATAATACAAAAGGGGCACTTCTGTTATACTTTTTAAAAGTATTTTTAATTTATTATTATTATAACTTGCTATAGTCATCAGAGAGAGACAGAAAGAGAGAAGGAAAGTGAGAAAGTAAGCGGCCAGTTCTGGGACTCAAACTGTGGTCAACCTTGTAGGAGTCCAGCACCCTAACCACCATGACGCCTGCTGGCCCGGATACATCTTATATTCCGTATTTAGAGATCAAAGATAAGGCTTAGAAAGTACCAAATAGTTTGGTACTATTGAATACAACTCTAAAAATATTGAAAATTTGCTTTTTTTGGAGGCTAACAGGTGGCATAGTGGTTAAGGTGCTGGACTCCCACATGGCAGACTGTGGTTCAAATCCTGGACCTGGTGGCTTGAAACTCATGCTGGGCATGTGTACGTGTGTGCCCAAAATCCCAGGAGGAGAATGGAGAACAGATTGTGGTTTGGTCATCCCCCCTGGGGGATCATCTCTCACCCTTCCTCTCTCTGGTGGCACATGTGCCATATGGCAGAAACCTTAAAATAAATAAATACATTTTTAAATTTTGTGATCAGACACTGCCCCTAGCAGGCAATCAACACCTAAGTTTCTTATGGTTTTACTTTAAAATTTGGAACATTATTCCATTCCATCTACCACTATATTTACATTATGGTGCCAGGGTTGGAACTGAATCAAAAGCTTAAAAAGCTAGAAATTAACATTGGAATAGTATTTCTCTTCCTGTAGTGGAACCACAAAGTTGAGGCTGAATATTCCTTATTTATTTAAAAATAGACTGTTTCATTTGAACCACAGAGGCTCACTAATGAAACCAATAATATAACTTTGACAGACTTTATAGAATACAGATGAAATTCCAAACTTTTTAACCAACCAAATTCTCCAAGGAAGGTAGCATTGTTAATTTTTATGAGCATTTTCTCATTTTAATATAGATAATGTGTTCAGGAAGTTTAAGAAAGTGACTTGTAGGGTAATATAACCATCATTTCAGTTGAAATCATGTGGTGCTTATTAGCTTAAAATTAAAAAAATGCTGATTTGTACATCATGTCCAGACTGGGGCTCCAGAACTTAAATAGAAAGGAAAAGTTGTGGAAAGCAACAATAAAGAACATAAGGTAGAGAGACCAGCTGATGGCATCACTGGACTGCCACATGGCCAACTGTGGTTTGAGTCCTGGACCTGGTGGCTTAAAAATCATGCCGGACATTGGGACCAGCAGATGGCATAATGGTTAGTCCCTAGACTCACATGTAGTCAACTGCAGTTTGAGTCCCAGACCGCAGCTTAAAACTCAGGCTGGGTGCATATGTGTGTGTGTGCCCAAGATCCCAAGAGGAGAATGGAAGAGAAGAGACTACAGCATGGGCATCCCCGCTGGAGGGTGATTTCTCGCTTTCTGTCTCTCTCTCTCTCTCTGGCAAGTGCATGCACCCTATATAAAAAAAAAATCTCTCTCAGGACCAGCAGTTAGCATAATGGCTATATCACTGGACTCCCATTTAGTCAACCGCGGTTCGCGTCCCGGACCCGGTGGCTTAAAACTCACACCGGGCGCGTGGGCGTACGTGCCCAAGATCCCGAGAGGATAACGGAGAAGGGATTGCGGCATGATCATCCCCCCTGAGGGGGTGATTTCTCGCTTTCTGTCTCTCTGTCTCTGTCTGTCTGGCAAGCACACGTGCCCTATAGCAAAAAACTCTTAAAAAAAAACTCTCTCTCTAAAAAATTAATTAATTATATATTAAAAAAAATACTCAGGACTGAAGGGTGAAAGGATCTGGGCTGCAAAGAGTCAGGGAAGAATGTAGCAGGTAGAGGAGAAACCATGTCCTTTTTTCCCCTTTTTTAACCTGCCAGAGATGCATGTGCTCACCAGAGACAGAGAGGGAGAGGGAGAAAGCAACCCTCAATGGGGCATATTCACACCACAATCCCGTCTCCATTTCTCCATCCTGTAAGTATTGTGGGCACACACATACCTGTGCTCTGTGTGCTTTTCAATTCACTGGATCACAGACTTAAACCACAGTCAGCCATGTGGGATCCAACTTCATTAACCACTAGACTATAGGGCTGGGTCAGTATGTGCTTAAATAGCCTAAATTTTTTTTTTTTTTAAATGGGTTGTTCGGTCCAGCAAGTGGCATGGTGGCTAAGGCACTGAACTCCCACGTGGCCAACCGCAGTTCGAGTTCCAGACCTGGTGGCTTACTTTCTCTTTTTCTCTGACTCTCTCTAGTCAAATTAGAAAACAATAATAACAAATGGAATTAAATAAATAATTATTTAAAAAGCTAGGCTTTTCATTTGTTAGTGCCTAATTTGGTGGGGATGTGTGACTAGAGGTAACAGTGAAAGAGGCAAGTGAGCAGACGGGTAAGGATGGACCTGGAGGTCATGATAAAGAGTTGGGTTTTACTTCAAGAGCAACAGGAAATCTCTACATTTTAATTTTTAAGGGCTTCAGGCAAGGGAATGAGATGATCTCCATTTTCAGATTACTCTTGCTGCAGTTTGAAAAAAACAGTAAAAGTGGGGCCAGCAGACGGCATGGTGGTTAAGGTACTAGATTCTCACATGGCCCACCATGGTTCTAGTCCTGGACCTGGCCACTTACATAGCATGCAGGGTGCATGTGGGTGTGTGCCAAAAATCCCAGGAGAGTTAGAGAGGGGATTTTGGTGTGGCCATCCTCCTGGGGGGTGATTTTTTTTTTTTTGAGAGATTTTCACTGTAGGGCGCGTGCGCTCGCCAGACAGACAGAGAGAGACATAGAGACAGAAAGCGAGAAATCACCCCCCAGGGGGGATGCTCACGCCGCAATCCCTTCTCCTCCATTCTCCTCTCGGGATCTTGGGCACGCACGCACACGCGCCCGGCGTGAGTTTTAAGCCACCGGGTCCGGGACACGAACCGCGGTCGACTACGTGGGAGTCCAGCGACATAGCCATTACGCTAACTGCTGGTTCCCGATTTTTCATTATCCCTCTCACTCTCTCTCATAAGCACATGTCCCCTATGACAAAAATCTCAAACTAACAACAAACAAAACTGATAAAGGAAGGTAAAGGTGGGACCTGGGACTTGTTGAGTGACAACTAGAGTACAGCAGGTGAAAGATGATGGTGGCATGGTCTAAGTTAAGAAAGGCCCTTGGAAAAATTAATGACCAACCTCCATTATTTTTGAAAAAACAACCCACTGTGATTCGGCCATGAACACCTCAAATGAAGTGAGGGAGAGGTTGAAAATGGTCCCTTCTCGACTGAAATGTAATTCAATAATTGTCAATTCTAGGTATTTAAATGTACATGTATAGCCTGAGAGATAGGAAAGTGGGAAAGCTTCCTCCTCAACCTTTGGTGCTGTCATGACTTGATTCTTCCCATTGTGTTGTCCCTTATCCTTAAAATTTCTTTACTTGTGTATTGTTGTTTTTTTCCCCCATACGTTGCATGCTCCCACCAGAGACAGGGAAAGTGAGAAATTACCCCCCTGGGGGTGGGAGAGTGGAGGTAGAGAAGATGACGCTGCAATTGCTTCTCCTCCACTCTCCCGTCGGGATTTTCTCCTTCTCATGTGCCTTGACTGCTTTTCAAGCCACTGGATCTGGGACTCCAACTGTGGTCTGTCACGTGGGAATAAAGCACCTTAACCACCCCACTACCGGCTGCCCCTGCATATGCAAAGGTAATGAATGTTCCTAAATACAAAATGTAGTTGCTTACGAAATGCCAGTTTTACCTTTGAGGGCAGATCAGAAACTTCTAGGAAATAACACATGGTTTGAGAAATGAAAAAAAAAAAAGAAGTAATTAGGACTCCACGCAGAAAGAACAGTCACGTACACAAGCCTCGAAGACAGGAATGAGACTGCACGTCACGCAACAAAGCGAACACTGTGGTACGTGGCCTGTGTATCACTGCTGTCTCCTGTGCCATGCTGACAAACATTTGCCACCATTAAGTCTTGCCCTACGGTTGAGTTTACTTTTACAGCTGCTTCACAAGAGCTGATTAAGGAAAAAAAAAAAAAAAAAGGACATTTCTGGTGATCCCGCAGAAGTGCGGGTTTAAGAGAACGAACACATCTGCATCGGCCGGGGCAGAGTACGCGAAGGCGTGACTAGTCACCGCCTCCTACCACATCTCACCGCCGCCACACCCTCAAATACCAAGTCTGGGGGGTCTCCCGCCAGCGCTTCTCCACGCCGCCTCTCACCTGGCATTCTGCCTAACCCGACCCAGAGCCTGTTGATCAACTAGAAAGCGCTGCCCCTCGCACCGCGAAGCAAACCAACTCTTCCACGACCTAATCCGCGAGGAAACAGACGGCAGCGGGTTTACGGGCGCAACCTTAAACGTCACATCCGGTCGCCTACTCCGCAGACTCTGCCTTACCGGAAGTCGCCGGCTTGACGAAGCAAAAACGCCGGTCGGGGACGTGTCTCTCCCAGGCAGCCAATGGGCTCTGCCCACCTTCTTCTTCCGTCATCTATTTGTCCAGTCGTGGCCTGTGACGTTTAAAGGACGGGGCGCGGAGGGAGATACGGAAGCCGAGGAGGCCCGAGCTCTACGGCCGCTCGGAAGCGGGGAACGGGAGGCGTGATGGTTTACATCTCGAACGGTGAGTCGGAGGGGCTGCGGGAATGATCGCTGACCTGGAAGGCCGTTCCTCCGGTGCTTCCTTCTTCGCTCGCGGTGCCCGGAGCCCAGCCCAGCGCTGCCACCCCGGGCTTAGAGCCCCATGGCCAGGCGGAGCCGGATGCCAAGTGGCCTCGGCCTGCGACGCGTCAGCTGATGGTCCTTGAGCCTGCAGTCGGGGGCCGGGGTCCCGCCGACCTCGCCCTCGTACCCCGACCTTCTGATGGTCTTTCCTTTCGGGCGTCTGTATCTTTAACTAGAAACGACAGCGACGTCGACCCTGTATACGTAGCGCCGATATCTCGGGCACTGTTGGGGTTGTATGTCCCACCCAGTCCTTATTTAATAAACAGCTCTATTCAAGTAGTATTTCATTGTTCCTGTGTTGCGGGTGGAGACTGAGGCGCAGTAGATTAACCAGCTTGCCTTGGATCGCAAACGTGATGGCGGAGTAGGGATTTGAACCAGGCTGAGCTGGCATCCTTGTTATCAACTCTGCCTCTTTCACTAACGTATGAAAAGACAGAGCCAAACTGGAATGATAATTAGATGAAATCGTCGGGTAGGCTTTTGCTTTGGGTTGTTTTTTTGTTTGTTTTGCTCTGGAGAGGGTAGCAAGTCATCCGTGCAACTTTTTGCCTGAATTTCAAGGGAGGACAGGAAGAAGCACCATTTCCTCTAGAAGGAGCAAGTTAATTTTTGCCGAAATAGAAAATCAGACAAATCTGTGATTGCACAGAGAAAATGACTGGAAAGGAAAGGTGCAGTTGCACCGGGTCAGATCAATGCCGGAACTGCGTGCGCACCTGTTGAACTCGGATGAAATTCCTTAGTGAAATCTTAGCAAGTAGTTCTTGAAGTGAGTTTTGGTTCTATTTAAATTAGCTGTTTATCTTGAGGCTCAGTTAATATAGTAAATGAGAACTCTAGTTGCGTTCTCTCTGCCTTTTAGTTTTCAAAATCTCTTCGGGACCAGTAGATGGCGTAATGGTAAAGTCGTTGTACTCCCTCCCACGTAACTAATTGGGGTTCGCATCTGGCATCCAAAGGCTTCAAACTCAGGCCGGGCGTGTGCTCAAAATCCCGAGAGGAGAATGGAGAAGAGATTGCGGCATGGCCATTCTCCCAGGGGGTGATTTCTATCTCCAGGGAGCAGGCAGGCCCTATAGCAAAAATCTCAAAAAATAAAAAATAAAAAATAAAAAAACCTCTTTAAATAATAATAGTTAAAAAACCCTCATCTCTTCCTTAGAACTTTGAAACAAGTGGTTTAATGGGCACTAACAAAAAGCTTAGTTTCCTCCTCTTAGTTCGGTTTGGTTTAAATTTGCCTTTGTGATTAAGACCCATACATTCTATTTATGAATTATCGAGTAATTCCTTATGTTTGAAGCGTGTCTTACTGTGTATGTATTATCTTATTTGATCCACATAAATACCCTGTTGGACCTTCTATCTCCCTTTGATAATTAAGAAATGCAGCTGTATTCAAGTACCTCGGATTCCCTCCAAGGATATTGGGAGGAGGAAGGACAGTTTCTGCCTTCAGAAACCAGGAGGGAAAGTGCAGAAAATAAGTTGTAGAATGATGGAAGTGCACATAATAGGTCTTTTAGAATCACAAAGGCGGAATTGATGGATTCCAATTCAATCCATGTTTTTAAGGACTGTATTTATTAGTACTTCATGACTGACAAAGTATTTCTCTTACTCTGAGATGCCTCCCCCCCACCAAACAATCCTATATGATGGCCAGCCATGGGATATTTTTTCTCACAGAAATAAAATGTCCTATCAATTAGGCAGAGCTAGTACGAGGCAGAACTACGCCTGTCACCTGCCTGACTGCACAGCCCTTTCTCAATAGCTCAGTGAGAGCTTCATTCCAAATGGATACTGGGAAATAGGAAATGGGAAAGGTAAGCCCTGGTGAGGGCTGGAGGTGAGTGGGTGTGAAAGCTTTGGGATCGTGGTGAGGAGAGGTAGTTGTCAGACGGCTGTTCTTCTTGGAAATATTCTGACCTCTTGATTTGCAAGGCTAAAACTCTAGAGTACTGACTTTTCCTATTATTTTATTTTTAAATAAAATAATAAAGTAGCAGCTTTGTTTACGCTAAAGCTAGAGTCTAAAACAGTTTGGAAAATAGCAGCTTTGTTTACGCTAAAGCTAGAGTCTATTCTTAGAATCAGTAGCATCCTGTTAGAGAAAACAGTGGTCTTTTTTTTTTTTTTAAAGAGATTTTTCTTTCTTTTTTTTCTCTTTTTTTTTGCTATGGGGCACCTGCACTCACTGGAGAGATAGAGACAGAAAGTGAGAATCACCCTCTCTCCCCCAGGGAGGATGGACATGCACGCACATGCGCCCGACATGAGTTTTAAGTTGCCTGGGGTCTGGAACTCAAACCGTGGCCAACTTCGGGAGAGTCCAGCATCATAACAATTACGCCACCTGCTGGTCGCCAACAGTGGTCATTTTAATGAAGAACCGGCCGACTTCTCCCAGTGCTAGCCAACTTCTCCCAGTGCTTAGAGCGTACAGACTTTGTTATGTGACAGTTCTATCAAAATGTCTGATTCCAGAGACTTTACAGGTGTTAAATACTTTGAACACGTTTAGGAAGATGAAAGTGGTGTGGACATTCCTTTATATTCATCTATCTCATTTGTTTCTTCAGAATACTCAGATATTTGTACACCTGTGATCACAGCAGCATTATTCCCAATAGCCAAAAAGTGGAAGCAACCCAAGTGACCTGCGACAGATGGATAGATAAAACGTATGCACATATTGTGGAATTTACTCAGGAAAGGAAATTTTGACACATACTACAACATGAATGAACCATAAAGACATTCCGAGGTGTAAAATAAGTTGTCACATTGTGTGAGTCCTCTTAGATGAGGTTCCTGGAACAGTCGAGTCCATAGAGATAGTGGAAGGGTGGTTGCCAGGCTCTGTGAGGGAGGAGGTGATGGAGAGTCAGAGCTTAATGAGTACAGAGCTTCAGCTGGAGAAGATGAAAAATTCTCCAAGTGGATGGTGGGGATGGTTATACAACAATGTACATGGACTCAATGTGACAGAACCCTACACCGAAAAAGGTCAGAATGGCGCATTTTTATATTTCACCATTAAAATAGAGGGAGAGAAAACCATTTGAACAGAATAAAGTCACCACCACCATCACAAACCGTAGGTAGGCATTCGTAGGTAGGGATGACCCCTAGATCATGGAGCTTTACTCCCCCACTCCCTCCCTCAGAATGACACGCACAGAGTAGATTTCTCCCCGTGTTGACCTTTTGAAATAATGGGCAAGTTGAAACGTGGGCCTATCGTTGATATGGAAAGGATTAAACGTAATGCCTCTTGGGTAAGGGGTTTGTAGCACTCACTGAAGTTTTTTTTATTCTTATCTGCAGGACAAGTATTGGACAGCCGGAGTCAGTCCCCATGGAGGTTATCTTTGATAACAGATTTTTTCTGGGGAATAGCTGAGTTTGTAGTTTTGTTGTAAGTATGGCAAGGTTCTTAATTACCCTGATATTTAAAGCAACAGAAATACATTAGGTATATAGTATATTGGCTACCTTAAATAAGCTAAGCTTACTTGAAACAGATTATTATTATTTAGCTGTGTGGGTTTATTTGTTTGTTTGTTTTGCCTTAGGGTACATGCCCTGGCTAGAGAGAGACAGACAATGAGAAGGAAAGTGAGAAATCACCTTTCAGGAGGGTGGCCACACCACAGTCCCTTCTCCTCCATTCTCCTCCCAGGAGCTTGGGCCTGCACGCACACACACTTGGTGTGATTTTCAAGCCACCAGTCAGGGACTAGAACTGTAGACGGCCATGTGGGAGTCCACTGATGTAACCACTACACCCTCTGCTGGTGAAGCAGCTTTTAATGATAGTTTTTTAATATCTTTACAATGGGAAGCTAAGACGTGCTTAGTGATAAAGCTGCTATCTCTGAACATCTTGTGATTATATGTTTTTTGGCTTGATAAACTGGACCGTGTCTTAACTTTGTAACCATTTCAATCTGCCGCCAAGCATGTACATTCTAATGCCAAATGCCCATGCCTTTCTGTTCTTGCTGTTATTTCTGTTACTGTTGTTTTTTGTATGTGCATGCAACTTTTGTATTATACAAGAAATAAGAATTGTATTTTGATTAAAAAAAAGAAAAGAAGAAAAAACTTGGGCCAGCCAGTGGCATGGTAGCTGACCGCACAGTTTAAGTTCCAGACCTGGCTGCTTGAAAACATTCCAGGTTCGAGTGTGTATGTGCCCAAAGTCCCAAAAGGAAGGAGAAATGAAGGAGAAGGGATTGCAGTGTGACCACCCTCCATGAGTGGTGCTTTCTCACTCTGTCTCTCTCTCTCTTTCTCTGTCTCTCTCTCTCACTCTTTCTCTGGTAAGCACATGCAAAATGACTAAAACCATGGAGATACATTTTCTAACTTGATCAAAAGTGGTATCTGTTATTTTCCACCCTTGTTTTAGTTTCAAAACTCTGCTTCAGCAAGATGTGAAAAAGAGAAGAGGCTATGGAAACTCATCTGATTCCAGATATGATGACGGAAGAGGGTATGGCTTCTTAAAGTTGATAATAGTTGTATATTTTAGTTAAATTAGATCTTTTAGATCAATTGATAGAATTGAATTTGCAGAAAAGTCCAGAAGATCCAGCAGCACCAGCCGGGCTTGTTTCCATGTGGTGCTGTCAGCTGGAGCTGGGTTTCAGCCAGCAGAAGGGGGTACCGTGCAGTTCATCACAGTCCCTGCTGGAGTCAGTTTCCTCGTGCACATTATGTGCTCGGTCCGAATAATAAGTGGATTTTCAACTCCTGGTCTGAATGGTTCTAGTTCATGTTTTAAGTAATGCTTTAGGGTCTTGTGGATGTCAAACTAAAAGAAAAAGATTTAGTTGAGTGTTTAAAAGTTAAGAACTACTTTAAGTTGTGTCTGCTACACCATAGATATCCACCTTTCCTTTTATTAGGCCACCCGGAAACCCTCCCCGAAGAATGGGTCGAATCAACCATCTGCGTGGCCCCAGTCCCCCTCCAATGGCTGGTGGATGAGGAAGGTACGTTAAAATCAGAAGGTATTTTGTGGGATTTAATTTAAAAATACTGTGCCATCAGAAAAGTCATGATGCATTTTTGCATAGAAAAATACATCATGAGTCTTACGATGACCCAATATCTCTGTCAGAGAGAAACAGAGAGATAGAGAGATAGAGAAAGTGAGAACCTCTCTCCCCACGTGGACAGCCATGCTGCAATCTCTTCTCCATTCTCTTTTTGGTACAGTACTCTGGACACACACATGTGCCCAGCATGAGTTTCAAGCCACTGAGTCTGGGACTCAAACCACGTTTGGCCATGTGGGATCCATCGCCTTAATCACTGTTACCTACTGGCCCCTAAAATATCTTTTGAAGAGGTTTTCTAACATGAAATGTGTTAGGCTTTTGTACAAATCCAGATGAATAACTGATAACTAATGTTTTCTTTTAGGTAAACGTCTGCTCTAAGAAGCAGACAAC